CTGAGAACTGCCTGTTCATATCCTTTGACCATTTATCAATTGGGGAATGACTTGTATTCTTATCAATTAGACTCAGTTCTCTATTTTAGAAATGAGACCCTTATCAGAGAGACTGGTTGTAAAAATTCTTTCCCAGTTTTCTGCTTCCCTCCTAATCTTGGTTACACTGGCTTTGTTTGTGCAAAAACTTTTCAATTTAATGTAATCAAAATTATCCATTTTGCATTTCATAATGTTCTCTATCTCCTGTTTGGTCATGAATTCTTCCGTTCTCCATAGATCTGACAGGTAAACTATTCCTTGCTCTCCTACTTTGTTTATAGTATCAGCCTTTATAGCTAAATCATGAATACATTTTGACTTTATTTTGGTATATGGTGTGAGATTTTGATCTATGTCTAGTTTCTGCCATACTCTTTTCCAGTTTTCCCAGCAGTTTTTGTCAAATAGTGAGTTCTTATGCCAGAAGCTGGGGGTCTTTGTGTTTATCAAATAGTAGATTACTATAGTTATTGACTGCTGCGTCTTGCATACCTAGCCTATTCCACTGATCCACCACTCTATTTCTCAGCCAGTACCAAGCAGTTTTGATGATTGCTATTTTATAATACAACTTAAGATCTAGTGTAGCTAGACCACCTTCCCCTGCATTTCTTTTCATTAGTTCCCTTGATATTCTGGACTTTTTGTTATTCCAAATGTTATTACTTTATTTTAAAAAAATTATCTTTGTTATAAGTGATGGTTCTATGGAAGAAGGAGTGATAGAAGGGGAAATGTGGAAACGGAGTCAGGCAGCAGTGAAGTGACTTGCCCAGGGTCCCACAGCTAGTCAGTGTGTGAGACAGGTTTTGAACTCAGATCTTCCTGACTTCAGGCCCAGCACTTTATCCACCGCACCATCAGCTGTCTCTGAAAATGAAAACTATAGTCCCTGCTATAGAGGAGTTTATAATCTAGTAGGCATAAGAGCCATAAAACAAATGATGAAACGACAAGTATAATGTGAAGAAAAGAGAATTCCACACAAATTCATCAGGGGCGGGTCACTGAACCAGCTACTGTGCCATTGTTTGCTGACCCAGACAGGGTAAGTCAGATCATGCCCACTTTACAGATGAGGACACTGACATCTTGGGAGACCCTGGCAGGGCAGGATCAGACCCAGGGCTTGTGACCTCCCAGAAGACCATGGTATCATAGAAAGGGCACAGGATCCAAGGATCTGGGTTCGAATTCTGACACCACCACTTACTGCCTATGTGACCTTGGGCAAGTCACTGTCTTTCTCTGTCTCAGTTTCCTCAACTGTAAAATGAGGAGGTTGGATGTGATGACCTCTAAGGTCACTTCCAGCTTTTAACCCACCCTGAAATAGCATTTTTTAATGAATAAACAGGAGGCAGATAGACAACTGCAGCTCACTTATCAGGTGTGATTTGAGTACAAGGTCCCACAGTGAGGTTTGTAAGACTGGTGGCCCAGCGGTCAGATCCCTTTCTTTCTCAGACCTGCTGGGTCCTTTGGAACATCCTACTAGAAAAACAGAGAAAACAGCTTGTTTCTATTTGCAACTCTCTTGTCAAGAGGGAAAATAGAGAAAAATTCTACCTCCAGGCATTTAAGGAAATGCTTAGGCCCAGCCAGGGGAGAATAAGGATGCTGTTCAGGGGCCACAGGAACAGAGGACCATTGATGTTTTCTCACTGAATCCCCACAACCCTGTGAGACAAGTATATGTGCTAACCCGAACTGGGGCATCACTACCCCAAGGCAGCCCCTTTACCCCTCCTTGCTGTGACAGCAGATTTCCTGGCCCACTCCCCAGAGAAAGGACCCTGGCCTTCTCTTCTCCTTCGAGCCCCACCACACTAAGGATCACCCTCTTCTCACTTGGTTATGGGGATGGCTGTCTGTCTGTCTGTGTGTCTTTGTCTCTCTGTCTCCGTCTCTGTTTTTTTCTCTCTGTCTCTATCTCTGTGCCTCTCTCCTCTCTCTCTCTGTCTCTGTCTGTCTCTGTTTCTCTCTCTCTCTCTCACTCTCTCCTGGTTCTCCTCCTCCCTCTCTGACCGATGCTTCTTCATCTCCTTTGCTTGATTCTCCTCCAGATCGCGCCCTAACTTTCAGCATTCTTTCCCATCTGCCATCTAGTCCGACCATTTCATTTTACCAATGAGGAAACTGAGGCACGGGGAGGTGAAGTGACTTGCTCATGATGGACTAGATGGCCTCTTGGTCTCCTCCAACTCTGAAATTCTGTGATTCCCTGATTTCTTCAATGACAAGAAGAATAACATAAAGGAAAACTTCCAAGACAGGCTTGGGCCTCTGACTGAGCAGCAGTCACAGAGGACTTTCCAGGACTGGGGATGGACGAGGCACATTCTGGCAGACCGGGCCAACAGCACCATTGTCTGATTGTTTGTTTGCAGGACTCCCCGCGTTTGTTATAGGAGGGAGGGTTGGAGCTGGTGGAGACGGACAACAGTGATAATGACCATTATGGAGTCACCTGAGGGCTGCTCGTCTCCAGGCACTCTGAGAAGCCCTCTTAGTAATCTAGGAAGTTCTTTAAGCTAAGATTATGAAGTCACAGAGGTGATGCTGACCTACACTGGTAAAGGGAGTTCCCTTGCCTGGGAGTTCCTTATACCAATGAAATCACAGGTACAATCCCTATCCCTGGCTAAAGAAAAATACTCTTTGCTCCTTGGTTCCGGATTCATTGACATCTCTGCCACGCAGTCTGGGGGTTGATAGCACTGGGCAAAGGTTGAAACAAATAAAGATTTCTCAGCCTGAAGTCACTCCTATTATGAAGGCCAGGCATCTCTGTCAGCTGCTGGACAATCCCAGGGACTTGAGGCTCCTTGGGAAGGTGGGAGAATAGGGGGTGGGGATGATGGGGTGCTGGGGTGCTGGTACTCACATCTCCCTTCCAAGATCATATTTCTCCCTGGCCTCAAGACACTATTCCTGGCAGTTTCCCTCCAGCCCAAGGACCCTCTCTCTGGCAGTGACTCATGAGTGGGTCCAGTGAGGCAAACCATCTCTCCCTGTTACAAGAACAAGCTGACCTCTGTAGAATTTCCCTTGTATGAACAGGACCATCTTGTACCAGCAGAACTATCAGGTACTGATGCCCACGGTTACTGTATATAATCCAGAGGTCAAGCTATAGACGTCAACTCCCAAAGCTATCTTGTTACAGACATAACAGACCAAAACACACCCTTTAAGAACCTTCTCTTCCTCACCCCACCCCCCAGGTTTTCAGTAGTGAATGACGTAGTTGTATGTTATCACCTAATTAGCATACTTGGCACATAATTCACTACTTTTCCTATATAAGCTTTAGCATCATTCCTGTTAGGTTCCAGGTTCCTTAAGGATCTCTGCCCGCTATATAGCATAACAATAAATCTTTGCCACCTTGACCCAAAGAATGCTTGAGTCTGTGAATTCATTCCAGACGTCCCCTTCCTATACTCTGGTCCTTGAGGGGTCTAAACCTCTCAGACCTCAACAGGAAGGGGGAGAATCCTCACTTTAGTGGTGACGACCAGACCAAGTCAGCCAGGTGCTGGACGGGACTCTGGTGCTGCCGTGCTCAGCCCCATTCCTGACATGACTGGCCAGCCTCCTCACAAACACACCTTTGGAAGTTTTACTGGGAGTGGTTGCTGAGGAGGAAAACAAACACCCAGATTTGTCCTACAGCCCAGCTCTAGGCCAGGCCATCAGCCCTTGTATCTGAACTCTGGTTTGTGTGTGGAATGCAAAGGGCCCTGGACTTCAGACTTGGGACACCCAGGTTCGGACACCAGCTGCCTGGCAATTACCAGCAGTTACGTGGGGCAAATCACTTTACCTGCTCTGAACCTTAGTCTCCTCCTCTGTCACTTGGGAATAACAACCCTGGCCCTACCACCTTCCTAGGATTATCACAGGGCGAGTGTTCTGGAAACCCCAAATGCTCAAGAAATGGAGATTCTCCTCCTCCTCCTCTTCCTTCCTCTTCTTCTTCTTCTTCTTCTTCTTCTTCTTCTTCTTCTTCTTCTTCTTTCTTCTTCCGAGTGAATAAAAGAAAATCTCACAGCCTTATTAGGATGGAAGGCACATGGTATGGAAAGTCCAGGAACAGGGAAGAAAGCTCAGTCTTCTGTTGCCTGGGGGTCCTCAGAGGTGTCCACCCCAGAGCTTGGAGGCAGACTGCCACTGCACTATTGTGAGACTTGCAGGCTTGAGTCAAATGGTTGAGGGAAACCCTCTGGGAAGATGGGCAGCATGGAGCTGGGATTCCTCCCATGAGTCCTTTTGTCACAGCCTAAATGCTCATTTTGGGACCCACAGAGAGGTTTCTGGGCATTTGGAGACTCCCAATGAATCCATGATGGTGGGAAGAGAGGGGAGGCTAAGACAAACCTGGGACAAGTGGATCCGCAGGATTCAGAGTCAGATCCCCTGAGACCAGACCCTGTTTCTGCTCCCTGGTGACTGGGCAGATCCCCTCCTGTGGTGAAGCCTTAGTTTCATTCTCTGTGAAATGAGGAGATTGGACTGGATTCTTTCCAGGATTCCTCCAGCTCTCCTTTACTCCCTCAGTGAATCCAACAGATTCCAGCTACACTTTGATGCCAGACCCATCATGGCATGAACCCAGAATACAAACAATCATTCATCTATCTATAGGATGATAAGCCTAACAAAGTGCTCTCTTCACAAGAATCCTCTGAGGTACACAGTGTAACTCAGACTGTCCCCATTTTACAGATGAGGAAGCTGAGATCCAAAATGGCAAAGGGACCTTCCCAAAGTCCCACTGCTGTTGGTGTCAGCTCTGGGACTCAAACCCAGTTCTCTTGACCCTAGGTTCAATGCTCTTTATTTATGGATGCCTTTTTCTAGAATATCTCAATCATTTACTCAATGTATCCCCTATCCTTAGCACCACCCCAACTTATCCTAGTGATAAAGAGGATCCCCCATACATGACTGACCTTGTGAGTGGTTCTGCCCACTGATGAGCCTGCTTTCTTACGAGAGGAGGCCTTTTGTGGCATCTTTCATGCTCCAGAACCAAGGTGGAGCCTTGCAGTGAATCTACATAGGGTTGCCTCTTGCCTCTGGTTCCATTTACATTGCAGAAGTAAGGGAGTATGCTCTTCTCCTGGTTCTCCTTCCTTCATTCTCTGGCCCCTCCTACACCTTCTCCCACAATTCTCTGATAATGCATTACATTCAGACACACAATTTGTGCCAAGACAAACGTGTCAGTATATTTTGTTTCCCCAACAGAATGTGAGTGCCTTGAGGACAAAGACTATTTGGAGTTTGAGTTTGTAAAGCCGGTCCATGGCGTTTGGTGGGTGTTTACTAAGTTTGTTTATTACAGAGGAGACCATATTTCCCCTCTGTTCTTTTTTCTAATATTTTACTTTTTTTTCTGATTACATGTTAAAGCAATTTTTTTAACATCTAAAAAAATTTTTGAGTTTGAAATTCTATCCTTCCCACTCTTCTTGAGACAGTAAGTAATCAGATATAGGTTATAATGTGCAATTATGTAAAACATTTCCATAATAGTCATTTTGTACATGAAGACAAATAAAAGAACAAAATGAAAGAAAGAAAGTGAAAAATAGCACCCTTCAGTCTGTATTAAATCACTATCAGTTCTTTCACTGGAAGCAGATAGCATGTTTCGTCATTAGTCCTTTGGGATTGTCTTAGATCATTGTATTGATGAGAAGAGCTAAGTCATTCACAATTGATTGTGGTTACAATGTTGCTGTTATTGTGTACAATGTTCTCCTGGGTCTGCTCACTTCCCTTTGCATCAGTTCATGTAAGTCTTTCTAGGTTTTTCTGAAATCATTCTGTTTATCATTTCTTCTAGCACAATAATATTCCATTACAATCATATACCATAATTTGTTTAACCATTCCCTAATTGATGGGCATCCCTTCGATTTCCAATGCTTAACCACCACAAAAAGAGCTGCTCTAAATATTATTTATTTATTTATTTAAAAAATTTATTTATTTTTAGTTTTCAACATTCACTTCCACAAGATTTTGAGTTCCAAATTTTCTTCCCATCTCATCCCTCCCCCACCCCAAGATGGCATGCATTCTATATACCCCTTCCCCTAATCTGCCCTGCCTTCTATCCCTCCCCCCTTCTCTTATCCCCTTCCCTTTCTATTTTCCTGTAGGGCAGGATAGATGTTTATACCCCATTTCCTGTATTTCTCATTTCCCAGTTGCATGTGAAAACAATTTTTGTAATGTGTTTTTAAAACTTTGGGTTACAAATTTTCTCCCTTCTTCTCTCCCCCCCATTGAAAAGACAAGCAACTTGATACAGGTTATACATGTGTAGTCATGCAAAACACTTCTATAGTAGTCATGTTGTGAAAAACTAAGTATATTTCCCTTTGTCCTATGCCACCCTCCCCATTTATTCTATTCTCTCTTTTGACCTTGTCCCTCCTCAGAAGTGTTTGCTTCTGATTACCCTCTCCCCGAATCTGCCCTTTCCTCTATCATCCCCCTTCTCTCTTGTCCCCTTCCCCCCTTATTTTCCTGTAGGGTAAGACAGATTTCCACACCCAATTGAATGTGTGTGTTATTCCCTCCTTAAGCCAAATCCTATGAGAATAAGATTCACTCATTCCCTCTCACCTTCCCCCATTTTGCTACAAATATTTTTGTACAAATAGGTCCTTTTCCCTCTTTGGGGATGTATTTGGGATATAGTTCTAGCGGTGCTATTTCTGGATCAAAGGGTATGCAGTCATGTACCATTTTGATTTTATCTTGGTATATGGTGTGAGATGTTGGTCTATGTTCTGTGAAGTTTGGATTCAGCCAAAGGACTGCACTTGAGGACTTAGAGGGCCACATGTGGCCTCAAGGCTGCAGGTTCCCTACCAATGGACCTAGTTGAAACCATATTGTTTTCCAGTTTTCCCAGCAGTTTTTGTCAAATGAGTTTTTGTTTCAAAGTCTTGGATCTTTGGGTTTATCATATGGCCCAGGTCTGTACAACTTGCAGCCTGTTAAAGGATTTCAGGCCGCCCGCAAAAAATGTAGAGGAAAACATCCTCTGCCTGGAATCCTTTGGCAGGCTATAGGTTGTGCAGGCCTGATATAGTAGGTTATTGTGGTCACTTACTATAATGTATCGTGTACCTAACCTATTCCACTGATCTCCCACTCTATTTCTTAGCCAGAACCAGATTGTTTTGATAATTACTGCTTTATAATACAGTTTGAGATGTGGTATGGCAAATCCCTCTGTTTTTGATGTCCAGGGACATCTGCCAGCAGTGGGAAGGTTGGGTCAGAGAATGGGCACAGTCCTGAGTTTAATTTCATACCATTTGGCAGTGAGATTAGGACCACTCATAGTCCAACAGACTCCCTGTGTACATGCCTTGACATCTTTATCAATCTGGCGGACATGAGGTGAATCCTCACCGTGACTTTAGTTTGCTTTTCTCTTGGTGGTAATTAGGAGCATTTTTCTATGTTTCTTGACAATGTGGGTTCATTCCCACTGCCCCCTGATCTAGTCCATGAGCACTGTCTCTGGGGTTTACAGATAACCCCAGGTATGAAAGGTACCTTATGGGGTCCTCTATATCGTTCTGAGGCTGTGGTTTTACTGTAATCTCCAGTGAAAGACGCTGCTCTAGGGCTGACTTAGGCCAAACAACTCTCTGGTCCTTCGGGGAGTCCTTTCCAGGTGGCTCCTGGCCTGGGGTTTATCAAATTCTGGGCTTCTGTGTTTGATCACATCTGGGTCTCACTGATCCAGACTGTTCCACTACTCTGCTTTTTGATTTTTAGTCCTTATTAAATTGTCTTGATGACGCCTTCACAGAACAGTGCACTGAAGGGCCCCCTTTCGTGCCGACTTTTAAAAATCCCTTCCTTCTCATTCGCCACATGCATCATGTTGGGCTTTTATCATTCAATTCTACCAAGTGATGCCCTGGTAGTCCAACTGGTTTGCCCTCCAATCTATACATTCATTTTGGTGTGTTTATTTATGCTTAGGTATGGTTATTTTGTACATTGGTACAGCCCAAGAACTCACAGCACATGTCTTCCTGATCAATTTTTCCTTTATTCCATGGTGTTTTGTAATTTTATTTTTAAAAGTCCTGCATGTGTATTGATAGACTAACACACCAATATTGTCTGCACTGTGTAGTTATTTTGAATGGAGTTTCTTTTTCGGGCTCTCCTTCCTGGGTTTGACTAGTAAAACACGAAAGGCTGGTGGATCATGTAGGATTAGTTTGTATCCTGCTAATTTTTTTCTGTGATGGCTTCTTTCTTCTTTGCTATGCCGCCTTCATTCTGGAGCCCCCAAACACCAGGTATTTCTTGGTCATGCCCAGATGGCAGCGTATCATCAGTTAATGTAATCAACATGAGGTAAGCTGTGTAGCTTACGCAACAGGGCACTGTGCCCAGTGGAAACTCAGAACCCCACAGTGGTGACCGGTGAGGGGAAGGCAGGAGCATGTAGAAGGCTTCTGCTGTGTGCCAGGCACCGTGCTGAGCACTTTCTAAAACATTATCTCATCAGATAACTAAGAAAGGCACATCGATACAGACGTCTGGCTCAGTAAGTAGCAGGTCACAGAAAGTCAGAGTCAGAAGACGCCTCAGAGATAGAATTAGAATCCCTCAGTTTATCAGTTTGAGTAAGAAGCTCAGAAAGAGCTGATTGGGCCAAGGGAGGTGAATGACGATGCTGAGGCTGAGGCCAGAGCCCTGACTCCAGGGCCAGGGGACTGCTTCCCTAGACCCTCAATGCCTCGGTGGTCATGCGCCATCCTAGCCTCCTCTCCCCTCCCTCCACATCTGGTGAAAGGGAAACGTCTGGTCCGGGAGGAGCCCTGGCCTGGGCACCAGAGCCCTCCAGCCAGAGGTGACCCCCATCCAGCTAGCCAGCAGCCTCTAAACAAGAGCCCTTCTGCCTTGGAAGCCACTTACTCACTACCTTCCTATGGAAAGCCTGCTGCCTTGTCCTAGCATTTAGAATAGGAAGGCATCTTAGAGGGCATTGGGGCTGGGGCCCTCATTTTGTGGTTGTGGCTGTCCTGTTGTGTCTGACTCTTTGTGACCTTATTTTGGGTTTTCTTGGCAGAGATATTGAAGTGGTTTGCCATTTACTTCTCCAGCTCATTTTACAGATGAGGAAACTGAGGCAGACAGGGTGAAGTGGCTTGCCCAGGTGACATAGCTAGTCAGTGTCTAAGGCCAGACTTGAGTTCAGGAAGAGAAGTTTTCCTGAATCCAGGCTCAGCACTCTGACTATTGAGCCAACTAGCTACCCTTCATTATACAGGGGAGGAAACTGAGGCTGAGGGAAAGACGATGCCTTGCTCAAAGTTACACAGCTGGTAAGTGTCCAGAGCTCAGCCTCCAGTTCCTAGCCACATGAAGCAGGACAGCTCACCATCTCAGTGGGTAAGAATCACTCTAGCTCCTGCCCCTAGGGTTCCCTGAAGCCCTTCTGGGGTATGACCTTAGCTTCTACTGGCCCCTGCCCACATCTACTGAGCCTGGTTAGAAGTGCAAAGTGGATTCATTTGGTCCGAGAGAAGAGCTCCCCCAAAGCAGACAATGTAGCCCTAGTCTGCTGTACCCCAGTGGGGGAGGGGGCCAGAGCTGTTTCTCCTCAGTGGGGGAGGGGGCAGAGCTGCTTCTCCAGTCTTTTCCTTACATCTCACTGCCTGGCAGGAGGCCTGTTTACCAGCCCTGCAGGCACCTTGGCCTCTGGGAGATGAGTCACCAATCTCACTGCACTTCTTGGCACCCCTCACAGCTGCTTCCGGCCTTTGCCCCCTATGCTGGAACAGTTTGTCTTCTCTCCTGTCACTTAGGGCTGTTGCTTAGGGGACCTCTCAGCTGCACCAACTGGAAACAAAGGTGCCCACGGAGAGTATCGTCCTTTTTAAAAAAGACTTTTCTTGAGGAAAAGCCACTGGGGTGGAAAGAGGCTTAGATCTGGGGAGAGGAGCCTGACCTCAAACCCTGCTCCCTTCAGCAAGTCCTGGAAACGTTGGGGGCCTCAGTTTCTAGGCCCCTTTTCCGGTTCCTAGTTTTCCTTTCCTATGACTGCTCTTGTCAGTGAACGCGTTCGCCGGCC